TTGTAGTGTTCCCATACTGGAACATTGTTTTGATATGCAGAACTGTGTCTAGGTGCATCAATTTTCCACAAACTACAGCTTTTTCCACAAACGTCTTCAGATGTAATTTTGTGGGCGCAAGAATCATCATGCGGCGCAGTGCCCAGATACAACAGTCGCGAATGACCGATTCAAAAAATTTTACGGCAGAGAATTTTGTTTAAACGACTACTCTCTCGAAACAAATCGAACAACAATCTTTTTGATTCTGGTTTCAAAACAGGTGAAAATCAGGTTTGGGGGGCATTCCTTGCTACCTCACCCGCAGTACTAGACAGCACTCCTCTGAGCTATTCTACATTGTGGATAAGGTAATACGTAAACGGCTCATTTCAAGCTTACCTTTGATGGTAAAGTGTATGTACTATCATTTCTATGCTACTCCTCGCATACTATCTAATTTTTCTGACATTATCAGCTGACCGTCTCCATCTCTTAGGCCTGGCAGACGTGTCATTCTCCTGGTGCCAGGACCGTTTCTGAACCATGTAGGTGGAAAGTAAGGTATCGGCAGGTTTCTCCACATAACTTATTTTATCAATAAGTTATTTCAAATGAGTTGACTTACATGTATAGAGCTTCATCTTACTTTGATTATTGGAAAAGAATGGAGGCCCCCGAGGGTTTTTTACAAAAATTTACTGACTGAAGCATTTAAAGCACACAATTATTTCTGCCTCTATATTCAGCGCAAGAAATTAGGTGGAGTCATTCCACAGGCAAGTCTAAGGAGGCGCGAAGTAGCCTACCGTGCGCAACAGCAATCCGCTAATTACGCTACCGTTCTCAGTTTCAAACTAACATAAGTACACCCCCCGAGCTGGAGTTTCGTCCTCACCAGGACTTGCCGTGCTCGGGCTACATGGTGCAGCCTTGTCAAATGCCGACAATGGATTACTGGAAAAGCAATGGAGAGCCCCCCCCGACCTGGAGTTTCGTCTATCAAAATTTGCCGACAAACCAGTACTGCAAGCTAGGTGCCATATCTGAAGGCAGAGACCAGTCTTTGAAGAGTGACGGGTTTTATAGCAAACCTGGTCTGGAAAGATAATGAGGTAAAGCAGACTAGATTAGTTTCCAGTAACGATGCAGAATGGCAGTCGCGTTACACTTAAAGGAATCCTTCACGGAAAAATCATGATTCTATTTCAGCCATAAATCACTGGCTTGAGACTCATTATCCACGATAAGAATGAAAAGAACAGAAATATTGCTTTCGTTTTGAAAAAAATTCGAAAAATCGAAAGGGCTGCTACGCGTTCAAAGTGCCCACGGACGTCTTTCACAAATGCTGGCGACGGGGATGCTTCCACTTGGTTCTTGCCTTCACTAGAAACTCTTTCTGGCCTTCTGCTTTATTGCATTCACATCTTACACTTCTACTCCATCCTATTCTATCGATCGATTTGTCTCTACTCTCCGAAATCGCGCGCTTAACCCGATTCTTTCATTGCGTCGCCTGATACGTAGCCGGCCAAAGGCCAACTTCTTTCCATGCCTCGCCTTTGGCTCCGCCCGAATTACCTTCGATGTCCATAGAGTGTAGTTTTTGTACGTTTGTTTCTCTTCGGAAACCGAATCTTCATGCGTGAAACTTTGTGTGCTGTTTCCAGTGATCACAACTGACACATTCATGTTAGGAAAGAATGCAAGAATTTTCCGCGAAGGATTCCTTTAAAAGCAGCAATAATTTCCGCCGTGAACGGATAGCGCTGCTAGAACTATCAACATTTTTATTGACACTGCCTTTAGCGTAATACATTTTTTTCTCGTATGCGTGGTGTGCTTCGGTCATCATTGAACATCAACCAGCCGGCAATGTACACGTTGAATAACATCTGCTATAAGTGCAAATAGGGCAAAGCACAAGCACTGTTTTCTGCAAGTTCTTCAAACAAAGATGCTAATTTAAATCCATAAGTGAACGACTGCGGTACAGACTCAAGCCTAGAATAGTCATACAGGCTGAGGCTCAGAACAAAGAATGTCCCTCACGTCGCCATAGCCCATTTAGTGTGAGATGCAGGATTGAGTGTGAGTGTTGGAGTCCCCAATAACGCATACTGAAAAATCGCTGAATCTCGAGCTGCTTCAGATCTGATCTTTACGAGCGAAATACAACGATCTCCTCTAACGGAAAATACGAAGGCATTCTCTTCCCTGTGCAGGCTTGAATGTAAGGCAATCGAGATACGAAGTGAATGTGGGATAGCGGTGCAGTTGCTAGCGCTGCGGATTTGAAGACGAGAGACCACGGGATCGAATCGTGCGAAGTTTTCCGCTTTCTTCTGTAGGAATGGAACTTAGGGGTTTTATCGATCTTACATCATCGATGATATCTTTAGATCGGATGTATGATGCTCTGCCGAGTCCTAACATGTTCGGGGCCATTCCTCATGATTTATCAATCGACATGCCATGCGCGAATAGTGTTTCCAGCAAGGGTTTGTTTCGTAATCCGGGGTATCTCTGGTAACAAATGCCTAGCCATATCCGAGAGTTTAACCCCTCCGAAGAAGCGAGGCACTCGCTGATTCATATATCCCCATCCCGTAGTACTGGGGCTGGCCTACCATCAAAGACGGCGGGGATTTCCATGTGAGTCCTGCAACGATCCCCCTAGGTCAGGCACTTTTCTTCATTTTCAAATGTACAGCTAGGTGAGTTCTTTCCTAAAATCAGCTCTGGCTGATAGGCTGACGGTTGGTTAGCTGCCCGATTTTTTCGAGGTAGGGTCAAAATCTCGGTTTTGCCCTACAAAATTGCCTTTTGTGGTGGTTTGACATCCTGAACACAAATATACTTGGCGTGAAAACGTACGTTCCTAATCATTTCTACTTCTACGTGCGTTAGGGAAACTACAAGTAGCAAATGGTGCCCAGACTTCATCGTAAGCTCATTTTACGGCTTATTATAGGCAAACACTGATAAAGTAACACGTGCAAGAGTCATTCTAGAATGGTTGCGCACAAAAGCAAAGAAATAAAACTTGCAAGGTACCGATCCTACGAGAGCTCAGGAGCCCGGACTGCTCTCCCTGCGCATTTCGGCTTCATAACTGCGTTCAGAGAGTCGTTTCGCAGAATTGAGCAGATGTGAATATCCGCAATTCAGATGCATGTAGCGACGTCCTGACCCTAATACAATGGCCATGGCGACCTGAGAGGCTTTCCTTGTAATTCTAATTTCTTACCAAGGAAAGGTGATAATTCAAGTGACTATACAAGAAGTGAGTGTACCACATGGGCCCTTCGAACACTTCTCTGATATATGTACTCCGCATCTAATCAACGATTTTTTGATCAGATTCAAACACGTTCTGAGGTAAGACACAGATTCATGGGCGTGGTGGATGCTCAAAATCAAGGATTTGGATTTTTGGTGTCCGGGAATTGTGCATTTTTTGAGAAATGTTCGCAGCACATCAGAAAACCACTCTTCTCTCAAATGATAATAAACAAATACGCCAAAAAATTACAGCGGAACTTTCAGAGCATAGCTTATGCAGATTTATGGTCGCTTGTTCCTTCGACATACCGAACAAGTTAATAAGCAAAGAGCCAGTTCTGTGGAAATCTCCCAGTAGGGTTAGACAGATACGTGAAAATAAATCCATAATTGTATCACATGAAGACATTGGCATTCGCACTTTTTTTAAGAGAACCGGTGCGGGTGTGAGTGGCTTGGGACGAACCCGAAACATCGCTTGTAAGAGGCTTTTGCGGCGAATAACTGGGTAATGCCGCGTCAGACTGTTCAAACTATCTGTACTAAAATTGTGAATGTTTATCACCTTCTTGAGAATATACTGTAGCCATAGGATTCGAACGGGAACGGGAACCTTTCAGCTTCTCCGTTCCCGTTCTTTTAGGCGTGAATCCATAAAGTTCGTGAAGAATTTGAATCACGATGTTATGTAGAGCTCCAATCATCAATATTGCACAGGGAACAAAACATCAAAACAATCGTGTAAAGAGCTACCAAAAGAGAACCATTAAGAATTGCAGACTGTCCTTAATGGGTCTCTTGTGGTAGCTCTTTACACGGAAACATGAGCACTTATAAGCCGGCATCGAAACAACCAAGCCAAGGGGCCCCCCCCCCCCCCCCCCCCCCCCCCCCCCCCCCCCCCCCCCCCCCCCCCCCCCCCCCCCCCCCCCCCCCCCCCCCCCCCCCCCCCCCCCCCCCCCCTTGTACGATCTGACAACAGAATCGTGAGGATCAAAACCTCCAGCTGACCAGGAATCTGCCCTCAGGAGAGGATGAACCTTACAAACACAAGTGTTACACTCATTAGAATGGAAACAACTCCAAGTTGAATCTAAAGGGAGATTTATTGAAAACTCCAACTATGGATGAGCAGTGGCGGCAGCTTCATGACAATCTACACCTGTTAACGTTTGACTTAGGAAGTCAAGAAAAATTGTTCGAGAGCTGACCCGGCTTTTCATATGCCTTATCTTCAAGAGTTACGTCATCCAGCATGTTTCAAAAAACCTTCATAATTTTGTTCGCAGTGTCGTTGTGAAGGACAGATTCAGAGCCAATGTCGAAAGACGCATCAGGTAGTGAATATCTCATTTCGAATGGCTTGTTCGACCACTATCATTTTTTGAAGGATTGAGCTAATGAGTCTGTTTTTGAACTCAAGCTTATTTCGAAGCCAATGCATATAAGTCTAAATTTTGTCCATCCCGCAGATGATCACATTTCATTGAATTGATGACAAATTAATAGAAAAAGAGCAATAATATTTGAGATTGCACAAACGGTTCCCCGACTGATACGCTAAAGGACAATTTCAGAATAGATGTACAACAACAGTGGGCAAACGAATGAACATCAAACAATACTTTCCCCTGAAGAGCAAGATATAAAAAAAAATGTTGATTTTGCTTGGCCGTAGCGCAATGCACATATATAAAAGGAAAGGATGGCAAAGGATTCTGCCACATTCCAGAATGTTGTTCGTTCTCACGGCACTGTCCTTCTTCCTGCTAACAGCCGGCGTTGGATCGGCGTGTGAGTATGGCTTCCATTCTAACTGTTGGTATACAAATCCGTTCGCTAGTTCAACAGTCCGCTCAAGTTCACTTGAGCAGCTTTACCTTCAACAGTGAGGTAATATCATTGCTTTTTCAGATACAAATTGCTTCATTCGAGAAGGGGACACGAGAGAAACGTACGAAAAATACTGGAAGGAGGTCAACCCAGGATTGGTTCGTCTGTTTTTCTCGACTAGACGAAGGTCTAAAATGCAGGAAGGGAAATTCACTTAGTGAAAGAGGGATGTTGAAGCAGGCTCAACCCCATCGTTGATACTTTTTGGAATCTTTACGACCCGCGATTTGATACGACTCGCCTTTGATATGTAATACTTGTGTCAATTCATGCACCCAATTTTTATTCTTTTTTCCTTTCAATTTTAGCAATAAGTGGCTGTTAGAGTTCGTTTTTCCCATAGACGCACATGTTGTGTGATGAGGAAATGACAGCTAATAGATTGAAAAATGGAGAAAAGCAGCTCGGAGCTTACTTCTAAGCAAAACAAAACCAAAACTGAATGTAGAATACTTAATCAGGGCCCCAACAAAGACGACTCCGCTGATTGAAGACGGCGATGAGTCTCGGAAGTAAGGAAAGAATTTCCATAAGATTGAATTCAACAGTTGAAGACACCTATCATCGGTGCAGTTTTTCGTTAGTACGTAAGGCCCCCGGGGGGGTCTGAGGCGCTGAAGCGTAGGCTTGTTCTTCGATGATTCTGCGGCAATGATCTGCCGAGCGTGCATTCAAGAACCACTGCAATAGTGAAAAATTGATGACTTTGAGATGTATTAGTAAAAATTGTTGGAAACCACCGGCAATCTCTATAGTATTCTTGTTTTAGGACTGGAGCTTTACCTACGATGAAGGCTTATGAGGATGTAAACCCAACACTCGAATACAGCAGTGCTAAAACATTACAGAGTCAGCAGGTCAGTTTCTGCGTCTCCCTGTGTATGTCCCATGAGATGCACTGTCTTTAAAGGGATTTCGCGACACCAATGCCAACATTAAAAGATGTACTGGAAGCCCGGTCCGAATTGGGAAGGTACTTTGAAGAGGTTAGTCTTTGATATAAATCGTTCTCCATGTAAGAAGATTATAGTGATACACCAGGGACGGTAGCAAAGTACCCTTAACTCGCAATCAGAAGTAACGATCGGAGATTCTAAGCAAAGAATAAAGAATGGAGAGTGCGATCCAGCCCAGATCAAGCAAGAGCTTCCTACTTTAGATTTCAGACGACAAAATATCAGGAAACGAATAAATAAGAAAAAAAAGGTTGCAAAAGTACCTGAAGATTATGGATCGCAGCTGCATTCTTTTGATTCCTAACAGGTTGAGCTGGTCAGAGAAGAAAAAAGAGCACGGGATTGAAGAGGCGCAGTCACCACGTCTGACACGTATGACCCTCCAGTAAAAAGTCCTTCGGAGTACTTTTTACTCGTGGGTCAACGTGGCGTCTGCGCCTCCTCGACCTCACACTATTTCTTTTCTCTGCCTAATTACGAATTAGGTTTACAAGTTAACTCTCTAACTACTAATTAAAATGGTTTTTTTGGTTATGATCTAACTGTAGGTTAAACAAGACTTAATGTGTTGAGAAGCGCTCTGAACCTGTTATCTAAACTGACTTTGGTCTGAGCTAATCTCGACACGTTAAGTCTGAATTAATGAAGGTTTGCTACCGTCCCAGATTGCTCCCACTGCCAGTCTGGACTTGCTTTCCGGGTTGTTCAGGGACTTCAGAATTCCCCCCCCCCTTTGTGGGGTGTCGGAACGACCTCCCCCTGTATTAGCTACTGTGTCTTTTCAAATTTTAGGACGCATCATCGTTACTGGCGTACCACATGGAGGGGTGTGGGCATGAATAAGTCGCGCGCGTTGTCTTCGCTCACCTCACGACGGATTGAAGGCAACATGAAATTTTACTCGTTAAATACGTGTAACCTCCAAATCTCAGACATGGTAGGAATGACGGAGATTTCTGTATTCAGAAACTGACCAAGCTTTTTTCGAAATCGCAAATCTCCTTTTTAATAAATTGAGTAGCTGACTTGCAGCATTATGTACGTTACATGCAACCTTCATTTGAAAGGTTATTTCCTTTGTTCAAAAGCGGTTTCATCAGATGGGATACAGATTAGAAACTTCAGTTGTTTTCTTTCTGAACTTTGTACGCTCATGCAAATGTTCAATACTTCAAAAAAATCGCCTCGTTCTATCTTTTTTTTGTGTGCGCGCTAGTTCCCATCATTCTAACGTTCATAACTTCCTTAGTTCCCTTTATTTTACACTTCAAAGATAGTTTAGGAACTAGAAGAAACCGACACCAGCACGTTTTGCTTCTATCTACAGCGGTGGGCACAAATTATTGGTGCCCCGAGATTTCGTTTCGGCATTCAGTAAAGTCACTTCACGGAATCTTCTAGACGCATGAAATCATCTAAAAGATGCACAATCAAAACATATCAGCTTTTCCAAAATAAGTGCCTCTAGCCTTCACACTGCTCCTCAAACCTCGCGTCGGCACGCACGTATTTTCCATTAGTTCCATCCCAGAATTTTAAAAAGCGCTACCGTTAAAATTGACGATGTCGATTCCCTAGGCCCACTGTCCCTGTACCACCCTCAAGCAGTGCCCTGGAACGAAGTCTCCGTTGAATTCACCCACAACCCTCTCCAAGGCGAAGACACGCCCATGGTTTTCAGCAGATACCGAATCTGGGAGCTGTCGAGCAATGTTGGAAAAATGAGAATTTAGTGGAAACGCATTTTGATAGGGCTCTGTTGGAGTTTGGCGGTTCAGTTTGCAAAGCGAAAAGCTGAACCACTTCGTTATGAGTGCTTACGGTAGCGGTGTGCTCAAACAACATATCACGTGAGAATGGAATTGGTGAATACTTATGAGAACAGTCTTGGAAAAGTTCAAAACACATAGGTGCACCATTAATTTCGCCCCACCTTGTAATAGAAGAAGGACACAAATGATGAAATGGTTTCGAAGCACTGGGGCCTTTTCCTCAAAAGCTCTGCGATCACCAGATGGGACTATTTTGCTTGAAAATGATCTTAGAGAAGTAAAGAAAACCTACATAGACGTCAAGAGGCGTCGTAAACTGGGAAGAGGGCCTCCTTGTTCGTGAGCGAGGAGCTGTGGTTCCACAAGAGACATGGTTCTGAAAGAGAGCGTAGACACTTCTCCGCATAGATCGTTGTGTCGCGAGTATCACCTGTATCACCTGTCGTCCCGTTGATCGTCGATTTGCTCGAGCGGGCGCCAGCAACGTCTCCATTCGTCCCTGTCGCGTGCTAGAGTGGTCCAGTGGATCCTCCTTGCTCGAGGGACACGAAGTCCTTCATTCCTTTCGTTCAGAGCTTTCGTGAAGAAGTCTGACCATCGGGCGGCGGTCGTCCAGGTGTTCGTTTGACGTCCCGAGGGATCCAGTCGGTAACCGCTCTGGTCCAACGGTCATCGCAAAATCGCATGACGTGTCCGGCCCACCTTATCTTCGATTCCTTGGCGAAAACGGCAGCGTCCCTGATCTTCGATCGTTGGCGTAGTTCGGAACTCCGGATTCCCCTCTGCACTTGCGTGTATAGGGTTACTCCTAGCATCGTCCTCTCGACAGCGCGTTGGATAACGCTGACCGCATGCTCGTCCTGCCTGCGCAGAGTCCAAGTCTCTGAGGCGTAGGTTAGGGCAGGAAGGAGCCGGATGTTCTTCGTCTTCTTCACTACTCCCTCGATGTTCTTGAACGCTCCCCATGCCGCTCGTTTCCTCCTGCTCAGCTCTGGATCGTTCATCATATTGATTTCCCGACCTAGGTACACGTAGCTGGAGCATTCGGTGATGTTCGTTCCGTTGAGCGTGAATGGGGCATCAGGAACCAATCCGTTTCTCATAAACATCGTCTTCGTTAGGTTCAGCTGTCATTTGTGGTATGTGGTCTGCACTCGACGCGCTTCTAGTTTTCCGAATTGAAGGGTAGATAGGGTTTTCAGCACTTACCGCATGTTCTTACGCCGCGAGTACTAATTGACGTCTGTGGCTAATAAATACTACGATCGGTAGAACAATGATTCCGCAGCACCAATATGCTACAAGACACGCGAAATAGCAAGGGCTGCAAAGCACTGGTCACCCGATTGACTCTTATAGGAACCCCGTCAATAAATCGTATCCTACATTTTATGTCTTGATTGTGGATAAATTTGCCTATGTAACACTCTTTAGGTCCAAAAGTTTTCGCCCGGTACGCACTTTGGATGCAACTGTGGGTACACTACAATAGATGGAGATGGATCAGCCGTGAAAATGGATACGACGTGCATTTTTCTGAAGAAATAATTCATTAGACCCTCCGACATAAAGCATCGTCAGATTTTTGTGCCACAACTCATTCGAAAGGAATTTTATATAATAGTCCACGAAACTTCACTGACAATGGGTGGTCAAATTTAGCATAGAACGAAAAGTCAGGGCCATGACGTACATATAACACACCATGTTGAGCACCAACCAGACACCAAGGAAAATTTTTATCACCATAAATTACATGGTTCATCCTCTTCATAAATTTCACAATCAATCTGCAGAGCAGTTGAGTTTGTGCTCATAAAGCTTGAAAGTGAGAAATGAGAACACTAGGAAAGTGCTCCGTCGCAAAGGTTCCGCACATAAGGAGTCACGCTCACTGTCCATCGTTCACCACATAATATGAACGCCTTCAGATTAACTTAGTCGAAAAGTAATTTAGGTATAGAAATTGAGGTAATGCTGAAAGAAGAAGGAAGAGCTGTCTCAAGACAGAATATTTGCTGCTTACAAAAGCAAATGTGTCCAATGTATAAGAAGTATATAATGCCTGTAAACGCGAAGGCAACTAAAAAACAACACATGTCATAGGCTGTGATTTCGCCAGCTTTTATAGGAGTCAACATAGGAGTTAACACAGATGTACCACAAATTAGATTCATTGTTATAGCCAGGAGTTCTACACTATCTCTTCGACATTTTTGGTTTTGCAGTGCTACGAACTGCCAGAGTTTGCCTCCTGAATTAGTCCTATGGAATAGGAAATTGATCTATCAAAACCTGAGCTCTTTCTCCATCGGAAAATCTCAACTTCCTGGTGTGAAATCGACTCTTACACCATCCAATGGAAAGACGCGTCCAAAACATGAGGGGCTTGCATTTTTAATTTTTCCGCTTTCAGTCACTCCTGAATCTAAACTAAGTATCGTTACTTGCTGAAACTACGTGAGTCGTGGTATTTGACAATGTATACTGTAACTTCTTCGCAGTTCTTAGTTAGAAATCAAGTTCGTCGCATACACGACGGCGCCTTTTCCCACTTTTCGATCGCGTGAACGGACGCGATCTCGTGGGCGCCGACGCTTCA